GCAGGGATGTGAGATCGAAAATACTGTTTCGATTCGAGGCTGTTGAAACGAAAACTATTGACACTTTCAACAGAAAAACATTTTACGCTATTGATAAAAAAAAAAAAAAAAAAAAATGTTGCATTTAAAAGACGGCGTAAATCGATACATGTACTAACATATAGTGATTATAATATACCAGTGTGTCACGGTTCTAACGGCTATAGGGATTTTATTATGGTGTCAGCTGTTATCGTGATAATTATTTACGAATATCGAATGTTTAGTATAGGTTTTCATCGAATTGTATTACACCTTCTATTTCTCTAAACAGTCAACTTAAATTGCTGTAGAATCAAATTTATTAGGTATTTATAAAATTGTAAAGTTTCGTTTTGACCAGGTTCGTAATGTTTGTAAAGGTTATTTTATTTTATTAATATAATAGTCATAAAGATGTTAAATTATTAATTATTAAAATGTTTAAACAACAATTAAAAATTAAAATTATTACCATTTTCTCTTTTTTTTTTTACTTGCAATTATAAAGAGCATAATTATGTGAAAATGGCAAGTAAATGGTATTTGTAACGGGTCTTTCAATACAGATGCTAAAACTTTGATCGGTGATAGCGGTTATGTTGTTAGAACGTTATCTATAAAAATTATTGTGAATTGTTCAGTATTGTATGGCGAATCATTAGGGAAGGTTTAGCGTTGAACAACGCTTGTAAATTTTTAAATATTATCAAAACCAGTGCTCCGTTCGGGAAACCAAATTTCGAATTTTGACAGAAAATAATCTTTAGCGACGGATTCCATTTTTGGACGGATTGATATGTTAACAATGAAAATTGTTAGATTTTGTATGTTACCAATTCACACGAGATACATCCCGAATAAGTTACTGTTTGGTGCGGATTTTGATCTGGCGGAATAATCGGTCCGTACTTCTTCAAAAATGATACTGGCATTATGCACGTCAGCGACGAGCGTACAGATAGATCACAAAAGACTTCTTCAGACCTTAAATGAATGGTATGAATACCGACGACATGTGGTTCCTACAAGATGGCGCTACGTGTCACACAACACATGCCATCACGATGGACATTCTGCGATTTAAGGGTATGATTAGGTTATCTCGCACCCGGTGGCAACGTGAATTGGCCATCGAGACCCACACCTTTAAACTTCTTTAAGGTTATCTTCAATCGCCGGTCTATGCAAATAAACCGAAAACAACCAATGCCCTCAAAGTAAATATAACTAACGCCATCCAACAATATAACCAGATTTATGCGAGTAAGTCATTGCAAATTAGACTTGCCAAATAAGTGCTTCTAAGCAAAATCGAGGCGGATATTTGAACAATATTGTATTTCATACATAATTGCCATAAAATATTCTTTCAAATAAAAAAAAATAATAATTTGTTTTATTCATATTTAAAAATCGAACGTCCTTATTTAAACTCCTTAAATATCACAAATATTAAGTCTAAACGAGGAAAACTATGCAATGGAAATTTGAAATACATGTTACATTTACATCATCATATGAAATTTCTGTTGAAATTTTTTATTTCTGTCAAGCCGTTGACGAGAAATACCACTTTTAATTTTAGGTCAGAGGAGAGTAGCGGTGCATTATTAACTTGCCGCGCGCAGTCCCACCATACAAATGACAATCCATTACTCTCCGCCAACCTAAACTTAAAAGTGGAATATCTCGTCAACCGATCGACTGAAATCAAACTTTTCAACACCGAAATTTATTATATCTAATATTTCATTTATTTATGGAATTTTTAATATAAGTTGTCGTTTGAAAATCATAACTAAGTAGTGGTTTTACCCTCAAAAATAAAGGTGACAAAAAAAAAAAACACAAAAATAAAATTGTGGAGCTGCTTGTTTCTTAAATGTTTTAGAAAGCAAATTCCGGAAAAAGCCAATACTTTCCGAGATAATGAGTATACCCACTTAAATGAATCACCTTTTATGTCTATATTATGACAAATGTCCAGTGGGGGCTCGAAGGAGGTTTATTTGAATCATGTGATTGTTATTTTGTGGTTGGTCGGGTTTATTCAGAAGTATAACAAAAATTATTATGTTTTTACAAAACAAGTCATTAAAAGAATTTTAAACTACCGAAATTTGATAAATTTGATGAATTTTATTGAAATTTAACAAACTCCAATACATTTGTGGGGGTATTTTTGGGTTGAAGTTGGTTGATGGGTGAATGAAAAAAATTATCAGTGATTCAAGCTAAAAGTAATTTGAGCCACCACTGCTCGTTAATGTCTACACGTATCTAAACGTATCTGACGTATCTTTTCGCGAAATTATCATTTTGTGGTGTGAATTTATTTACGGAAAAACGTTTTGTGTATTTTGTGTGATTGTGTTGGTTCAATGCCTGAAATGAAATAGCTGTTGATTTTATACTATCAACTCGGAGTGTCTACCACTCGCGATAATTACAAAAAAAAAATAAATAACGACGAGAAAAAAGTAAAGCTCTTTACCAACAGCGTGTCCTATAAATAATAACGGGTCAGACGTCGAAGATACACCACAGCCGTTCGGTTAAATCTCCGAAAACGTACAATAGAATTTCCAAAGCCCTCGTCGTTCCCGCGACAACTGGTACGTGATTACTGGTAACAATGCGACAGACACTTGAAAACCACCAAATGTTTGATTTTCCATGACATCGAGAAAACCTCAGTGCACCCACCACCCACAACGGTAAACAGCAGCAGAAAAACGTTGACAAAAAAAAAAAAAAACTCACTGACGTCTCTTATTAAATATAAGAGGAACGAAGGACCGAAGGAGAGATATTAATGGTTTTACGACGGATAAGTGTTTTATTTTTTTCGATTTGTGTAATACATAATATACTTTTAGAGCTTCAATTTTAACTTTGCATATTTTTTTTTTTTAATTTTATGGGCATTTCGAAAATTATACTTTATTGTCCCCTTTTTATGAAATATATATTTTTTTTTTTTTATGAGTCAACCGAAAATGTATAAGTTTTACAATGATTGTAATAATAATTTTTTTTTTTTTTTGGGTGCCTTTAAACAACTTTTATACTAAAAATCTTGTTCTAATGAAAAACTTTATAGGAACTTTCGTGTAACATTTTTTTTATCTTTGGTTGATACATCGAGGGGGTAATGTTTAATTTTCCTGGTATTTTTATTAACATAAATGGAAAAAAAGTAGAAATTTCTTGCCCATCGGCGGTATTAGCTCTTTTTCAATATTCCGGTCCAATCGCGTCCGTTAATTAATAACGAACGTGATATAATCATCATTCATCATATACGGCGCTTCGTCGCCACTGAGATGATGTGTACTTACCGGTATATTATTATTTATACAGTTGTCTTATCGAATCATTGTTCATTCGTTTATTTATTTATTTTTTTCGAGTAATTAAATACCGCGTGCATTTGTATTCCCTTTCGGCTTCTCGCGGTTTCATCGACGCCACCGATAATATTGAGTTTAACTTTAACTCGACAACGGTGCAGTGCGTGGTTTTGTACACTCGTCACGTAGGTATATTTTATACGATTACTATATAGGTATTATAGAGGCGCGTCATATTATTATATCCGGAGAATTCAGGAATCCTTCGGCGGTTTATCGACGATAGTGACGAGAGTATAGAAAAAGAATAAAAAGATCCCATTAAATTCCGAACCAAATCTATTTCATACCGCTGGATAATTTGCGCGAGGTTCTTTTCATTTTTTTATTGAAATCATTTTTTTCCGCTGCACAAAATAATGTTGGCGGGAATCGTTGACGACGATTCTATGATGTCGCGTCCACGAATATAATACAACCGTGGTTACCAAAATATCGAAAATATTTTGCTCATCAATTTATCGCGAACATCGTAGTCTGGGTGTCGTGTTTTGATAGTGGACTAAGGTATAGAATACTTTTTAAAAGTAGTTATTCGAAGTATCAATATAGATATTATTTTTTAATGTATTTATAGAATAGGTACTTGAGTATGAATACAGTTATATTTTTGAAATTTATTAATAAATAATTTCAAATGTTTTTTTTTAAATATAATATATCATATGAATCTAAACCATATAACAGTTCAGTAGTTTCCTTCAATTATCGAATCATCTAGACAAATTTGGTTAAATGTATAACTTTCTCAAAACACACTCAAACTCCCTCCCCCCCCTAAATCAAGTCCTTATCAAGTAAATACTAGGTATCCATAATAAATATTTACTAATACTATAGGGTGCGAAACCCACTCTAAAGAAAAAATAAAAGATGTGGTCTATTTGAACCTACGATTGATGAGCAAACGACGGCATATGATCCAAATATCAAACGATACGTAAGTGTAACTAACACGAAAAAAGGTTATAGGTACCGCGGAGACATATTATTATTGTGACCGGTGTTCTCGGGTATCGACCACCGCGGGTTATTTTACCGACAATAAAAATCGATTCATTACGTCCACCGTATCCGAAAACCGAACCTCCTCTGACGCCGGTCGTTCCGCGATTAGCGATTAAGTACCTTTATATACGATTATGGAACAATCGCTTTCATGTAGGGGCCGCCTCACAGCTGGACAGAAAGAAATCTTTTATTGACGGACTAATTGAAACCGGCAAAAATTTATTGTAACACTGCACACGATCGTAAGTGCAATTTTAAAAACCGATTTTATCAGTTTATCCGTCGTGAAAATAGTGCGCTTAGAGTAACGACCGAGAATTGACGTGTTCGGTTTTCACTAATCTCAACAATGATGCGAGAATATTCAGTACCACGTGCATATGTCATATTATTAGAACACCGCAGTAAGTTTCGACGCATAAAATACGGTATCTATTTTTCCCTATTTTCATATTCGAACACTATTCGCAACGATGAGACTTTTTTTTTACGTCAAAGTCCAACGCGGCTGTCCACAGGCACAATTTGCCAAGGAGGGGCGACGCCGGCATCTGCCTGTTACCCTCAGACATTTTTATTAGCATGGCTTATGTTATAGCTCTGGCACCCTCAACAATATTTGGCGGTCCGGAATCCGTCAATTATCGAATTTTCGTTGCGTCATCTGTTCGTGTCGGCGCGGCTACATTACAAAAGGGACGGTCACCAACCGAGATTTTGCACAACGTCTTTACAATGGAAGACCTTCCATTAGAGGCGCCACCGTGTCCATCCATCTCTGATTATATACGGTCGTACGAGCGGTCGGGGACCACCAGAGTGGACTCGTCCTTCGGCCGAAAAACCGGACGATAACGTACGTTATTTGATATTTAAAAACGTATTCTTTAAATTATTTTCTTTATGGACACAGACGGCGCACGGCGTTGAAATAGTCTACACTTCACTATGCGTCGTCACGACGACTCGTGAATTGGATTTCGTGACATGGGTAATCTCTTTCAATTGCGGGTGTGTCGTCTATCGGTAAATCTGTTTGACGTACGCGTGCCTACGGTAAAAAATAAACGAGTTCAAGGGCGAAAAAAAGCTGATACTACTGATGAGTATGGCATTAGTGTTGTAGGTGGAAAATTAGAAACAACGCAAAACAATTCTCCGTAAAATTCCCTAAAACAATTTTTGAAATTCTGTAATTTTTACGATGTTCATAAAAACTGTTACTATATATATTATATATATGTTATATACCGGCTGATTCATTTAAGTGGGTATATTCATTATCTCGGAAAGCGTTATATTTTTCCGGAATCTTTTATCTAGTTAAGTTGAAAGAGAGTTGTGGTCCATTATTAAAATTATTATACTACGCTCTACTCTTTTTATTTACCACTAAGTACAATTGTTTGTATTGAATTGAATTTTTGAGCCAAAAAAATTGCAATTGCACAAAACCAAATAATAAATAAAACAAACCCGAACAATTTAATTGTATTCTGAGAGTGTATTTAACGTCTCCACATTTATTTCTAACCGAATAATAAAAAAAAATGTCGGACATCCTTCGCATGGGGATGGGCCTCTGTTATTGATGCGAATTTTGGAAGATAGAGGAGAAAGGGAATTTGTATGTATATCGATTAACCATTGCTAACGAAAAACAATTCTAAGCGAAGTTCGATTAATAATGATGCTTTGTCAACAGTAAATATATTGTTGTAAATAACATAATTGCATATTATGCATTATATATTGTACACAGTATAAAAAATTACAAAAAATAAAATAAACATTGTTTTAAAACTAATATATTCTTCGCTACACTCAGAATCTAAAAATTGATTATAACCGAAATTGTTATCATATTTTCCAGTTTTTCCTGGTTTTAACCAAACTACAAAAGGAAATCAAAAAATAACCCCTCCCCGATGCCTCAACCAAATACAATATCTAGCAAAAATCACCCTTTAAAATGATGATCGAAAGAAGATATTTGCTAGAAAATTTGCTCACGGACTGAAAAAAAAAAACAAAAAAAGCGCACACTATGGTAAAAATTGAAACCAATATGTTTTTCATTTCGGATAGAAACTAAAATGTTGATATATAATAGTGCGCAGTAAACTATAGTAGGCATAAAAAACAATAATATTATCTTATATAATAAATAATTAAGATTTCTAAATATAAATTCTTAAAATATTCTTAAAAAAAATGTCACAATATCACAATATTTGTAGTTAAAAAACACGAGGAAGAAATTATAATAATATTAATTATATTTACATCCACGACATCGATTCTTGCGGTCGACGAATTTTCGTATCGTATGTCGTATTTTTGTTGTTGACGAACCAGTTTTGTTTTGTTGTTTAGCTTTTTATTTATTATTATTATGAATATTTACATCTTTTTAAGCACGGAGAAATTCTATGGCTCGGAATAATAATAGTATTCAAGCGCAGATGATACACGTTTAATATTTTAATTTACTCTGTATTTATTTTTGATTTCACAACGATCCGACAGGTGCCGCCAATCGAACAAATATACCGTAGTTAATTAATTAAAAAAATAAAAAATAACATAACAACAAAAATTGGAATAGAAATACTTCTTTTAGAACTTAGATTTATGATTATAAATGTATTTATGTGATGAACATATAGATTTTATTATTATATTTTTATAGGAAATTTAAATCGGTTTTCTCAACCTTTTTTAAAGTTACACATCCAAACACAAACTTTTACCACATTTAGAAATATTTAATATTAATTATCATTAAAAATTTTAAAGCTCTAGGCACATTTTTAACTAAATTACAACAAAGTAACAAAATTAAAAATAATAAAATTATGATTTTCGAAAATTTTCTCGATTTTCCTACTGTTTTTTTCCCAATTATTATGAAAACCGATTTGAAAATAATGATCTTATTAAATTACTAACTAAATAAAATTTCCTTTCAAAAAGTTGCCTAAAAGAATAAAAAAAAGAAATATTACTAAACAAATACATTACTCACCTTGTTTAGAATCTAAAAGAACTTAGTTTCATTTTATGATTGACGCCGTAAAATATATTACAGATCATCTGTGAACATACAGTTGTCATTCCTTACTGCTCAAAATACTTTTATCACCCCCTAGCTAACAATTTTCAAAATTTAATTCGGCTGTATTGAAAACTGTACATAATCGACATAATAAGTCCTCCTCTTTCCTGAGGCTAAATAATTAATATTGTAATTATCGCTTATCTTTATCTAGATATTTTAAAACTTATATTTCCATGGCACGGAGAAAGTTTCCGCAATATTACGAGTACTATAACATTAATTGATAGGTTTGAGGCAAAAACGCGCTACGACATCGTCGAGCCTTAAAGTACTCCGAATTTATAATATGTGAACAACAACACGATATTGATTGTGACCGGAAATAGAAAATCGTTTTCATATTTATATATTATAAATATTCTGCAAGAACTTGCTGCAAAAACGTGCGATAAATATGCTAATTTAAATAGTTACTTAACATTGCGCATACGTAAACTGCGAAATTCGCTAATTGGCGCATTGCGGTAATAACGTAGGTAGCCGTAATTATTATTATTATTATTATTTTTTTTTTTTTTTGGGCGATAACAAAAAAATAAAAAATACGTTATCAATTAACGCAACAGCTAAAATTACGCTCGTATTTAGGTCAATAAAACACTCAGAATCAATAACATTCGATAAGTGATGTGCGTTAGGTCATCGGCATCGTGTAAGTGAATACTCTGAGAGTAAATAAATTATATTATAAGTTGATACGCGTAGAAAAAAAATGCATTCGATTTCCGACGTGTGCGCAAACGTTCAATTTGCGCATAACATGTAATGTAGGTATATCATAGTAATAAAAACGATAACTGAAGGTTATTGAACGATTTTTTTTTTTTTTTTTTTAATATATTTTTTGTCGTATGTAAACACGATAAAACATAATATATCATTATATCATATCGTTATTATTATTATTTCAATATCAACAACAAAATATTATGTTGAATAATACGATAAAAAAAAAAAAAATATAAAAATACCGAATATTCGTCAATAGCTGTATAGATATTTATGCATTTTTACACGATATTTATAACTAACGTGTACGACTCGAGTGGAAACAAAAATGTAAAAACTAACAACAAGAGTTAATGGATTTCGATTGTAATACATAAATAATAATAAGAAAAAAAAAAAACCAGTTGCATATGCGTCATAAATAATATACTTCAAATGATTTTTTTGGTGTATACGAGTTCATGAAATTTTAACCGAAATCGGTTCAAAATACCTATTTTTAAGTAAGTTTTAGAAGACAAACTCATCGTTGTTTTTTGAAATATTTAATAGTAAAATATTTTTTTTTTTTTTTTTTGAATAGCTTCGATGTTAATTGAATTGAATAATTAAAAGGTTTTAAAACGCCGTCGGAGTTTTGTTTAAAATTTTGTTACTCACGAATTGTACGAGTATGCGTTTTATCGCTAAATTTGAGGCATTTTCGTTTGGGATTGATTCAGAACAAAATAATGGGGGGCGGGGTGATTCACCGATTTTGAAAATACATGTGAGGCACATATTAATGGATATGGAGCCCCTATCGGCTGCTCCTGTATCCACCATTATTTCAATTTGTTTTACGTGAACATATTTTTGTTATGTAGCCCGTTAGAGAGACAAAAATCACAAATGCCGTTTCGATGGCCTCTTATGTACTAAAACTCTTATTTTTACAAAAAATACACAATTTTCCACACGCACTTGCATACAATTAAATCGGATGAGTCCTGCGGAGAAGCGAGGTGTGGATTTATTTGGGTTTCTATAAAGCGTTAAAATACGAAAATTGGCAAAAAAAAATTACACTTGACAGAGTATACAGATTTGTCTCATTCGTTGATAAAACTCCGAAATTTCCCAAAAACCGAATCTATTGAAAGGATGATTTTGAAGAATTTTACAGAAATTGTTTTGGTCCTATAACCTATAACCTACAGGTCGATAATGCCGGATAACTGAAACGCAGGTTTTAAGCTTCAATCTTGGACTTTGCGATTATATTATGAATTCCTGTAAACACAACGTGCTGCAGAATCACAAAAATCGTATTACACCTTATTATTGCGCGTTTAATAAATTAGCCATCCGTATCCGTATACTCTGATTTTTTTCTTTTTATCTTTTAAAAATAACAGCTTGCCATTATTATTGAGCAGTTATCGTACATTGAATATAAATATCGATATTATTGTAACTGAATATCGTATCACACAAGAGAAAAAAGAGACATGTATTAAGAATTCGGGAATTCGATTAAATAACAAAAACTGCACTTGAATAAAAAAAAAAAAAAAAATTGATTATACATTATACAAAATGTAATTATGTTTTATTATTTTTAAGAAAATCTAAATTGTAAAATTTAATAACATAATTTAAGAAACTTTGTTCATTAGCATTCATTTGTAATTTTTATAGTAACTAATTTCCGCTGCTGCGGCCATTAGCAAAAATAAAGTTAAATATTATCATTAATATTATTATTGGTATTTACAGGTTACTTCGATGATAGGGATAACAATATTTGTCTACGTTTTTTTTTTCGGAAACGCCGAATGAGATAGTTATAGTAGTAAAACTATTTAGGTGCTATTTTTTTATTACATCCAAGACACTCGTTGAAATTGCGAAGACTTGTTTTTCGACGCAGAACGCGGCGGTATACGACAGTATAATAATTAAAATAATATAACGTTTGTTTGAAAAATAAATAATATTATTATTTTGTCTGAACGAAACTTTC